TTTACATAATAGTAAACATCGTAAAACTGTTGAGGTTTGGGGAGTAATATTCAGCTGATTTAAGTTGAAAGCAACACAAATGAAAATACTAAAATTAGTTATCTTCATGAATTTGCTCTATTCAATATTTAAATAATGCAATAAACTGATTCTATCTATAAAAACAAAATAAGTTGAAGCCTATACAGGGAACAACAACGTACAGTAAGGATTCATTTATGATCTCGCTGCAAATCGATCGTGATAGGAATCTATAAGACCTTCTGGCCCCCACACTATTATTTGAAAAATGTAACATATATATGTTATAAGTACAATAGTACACTGTCACCAACTAAATCTGTTCTGTTAATGTCCGACTATATAATATATTTATATATAGAAAAATTGAACTTTGAATTGAATTTATTTATAAGAGGTTTTCATCCTGAAGTGTCATTTTCATCTGTACTTCTTTTTAAACTAAATGACTACTCACAACAAATGAAGTTATCCTTCTTATTTTATTTTAAAACAAACGCAAATATAGTAGTTTATCGAGTCATTCTTAAAATGAGCAAGTTGATGACCTATTACCTATTCAGAGTAACTTTTATTGGTATGTATGATTTAAAGAGCTGCGAACGAAGACATCTAAGAATAAGATGACCAATAAAAATATAGTTTGAGCTTATAATTTATTCAGGATATATTTTTAAGAGTGAAATTAGTGTTTTATAAATGTTTAAATTCTTGATAAATTCTTATTGTTAAGCAAAAACGTTCGTTAAATAAATCGAAACCAAGGAAGAGTACCAATAAAATGTAAGGCAATTAAATACACATAAAAATGTTAAAAATTTGATAAAATTATTTTATTGATATTTAGAATTCATGTTAACTAGTGTTATTTTAGAATTCTAAACTCAATAAACGCATCTTAGAAACAACCAATACTAGCATAAGAATAAAAATTCTATTTGAATTAAACTGAAATCATCTCTCCAGACTGACAACTCTAACATAGGAGAAATTTAGTTTCATTGGAAAATCACTTCTCTGAATTAATTTCAAATTTAAATTTTAGGTTGTGTAAGGCAACTCCGAGTGCCTTTTATTAAAAACAGTAATAAATAACTACAACTTCTATATACATAATATGAAATAAATAATAAGAAACCAACTCTTTTATTTGAGAAGTTCATATTTTTGCGTTACAGTAATAAACTACTCACCTGTAATTCCGCTCTATCTACATCCCACTGTGATCTTTCCAATTCAAATCTTGACCACTCATGTTGAATGAAATGCAAAATTCCTGGAATTGTATATTGTGGTGTAGTCTGTTGATTGTTTGGTCCACCGGGTCCACCGTTACCATCATCAGCTCCATTACTTCCAGTTCCAACGCCCCCAACACCTGTAGCGTTATTGGCACCACCACCTAAGCCACCAACACCAACGACACCGACACCGCTGCCAGTACCGCCTACTGGCTTATTATTAATGCCAGTGGTGGCTCCTGAATTAGTGCCCATTTGTTAAAATTTTGATATAATTACGTTGGTTGTAATAATGTTGCAGTGTATATATTAACGTGTCGTTTTTTTAGTTTCCAATTCGATTTAAAAATTTTTGTTTTTTGTTTTTTGTTTTTTGTTTTGTATTTTATATAATAACGTTATATTTTCTAAATAAACTCTTATAAAAATATCAATCGACTAAATTACACAAACACGATCGAAATGGTAAACACTTAGTAAACTTAGTATTATTGCTTATGTTGTGAGGTTAAAATTGTTATTCCTGCCGTTAAAAATATTTTGATAATTATATTTATTATTTATCTAGTTGTATTCCTATAATTAAAATTATATGATTTTGTTTGTTATTTACTGTGTATGCGTGATTAAGTAAATAAAACTTTTTCTTAAGTACCTTTGTGACCACCGCAATTTTTAGTCAAGTTGCGCAAGTAATTAAAATTACGTTTATTTCTTATACAAAAAGACATTGACCGGCTTGAAAGCGCCTTGGAAATATTTTACTCCTTGTTTCGCACGTTCACTCAACTCAACAAAAAAAATTAGGCTTAGGAGTGTTCCAAATAGGACGCAAAGCAACCACACCGAACTATACAGTTTAGCACAATTTGAAAATGATTTAATTTATTTTACTGTTTCTTTTTCATTATAATTTAAATAGATAAAACCAATTTATGATTTCAATTTATTTTATATATTAGTTTACATATTTCCAATTGTCTCAGTGACCACAAAATGTGACAGTTCAGTCGTCGAAAAATTCTTTGACTCTGAAGTGTACAATTCAGTTTTTGCACGACGTGTGTAGTAAAGAAAAAAACGAATTGTGAATGAAAGCAGAATGGACAAAATAAAAAATACGCAAAAATTTAAGAGTTGCCAATTAAACATACCACAATATTCTGATCCAAAATGTCCAAAAAGGCTATAACTTCACATAAATTTATGTAACTTAAATTTTTTCAATCAACTTCCTTTCAATAAAAAATATAATTAAGATATGAATTATTTGAATTTTTTGATATTATTATAAGATATTAAAGTATTTTTAAAAATAAACAGCATCCTTGTGAAATTTCAGTTTATTTAACCTTAAGCTATGTTACTATTTGAACATAGCAAATTTAGAATTATATTATACTATTATCTATCATTAAAATGTATATTTATATTTAGATAACATATGGTTATTATCACCATCATCGTATTAGATCTTTGCAGAATCACTAAATTCACAATTTTGATTTGAAAATAAAAAAGTATTATAAAACATGTTTCCATTAACATAAGAAATCAGTAAATACAATCCTTATAAGAAGCTTTTTTTGGTAGAAACGTCTGTACTTTTAACATTAAACATTATAATATTTTATATTACTATATAACTTTCCGGATGCAAAACTCCTCACACTGTCACTGGAAGAAGTTTATTCATACGTAAATCAAAACCACTATATCACTAATAAAGATAGAAGTAATAAAACAATAATAATCTATCATCGTTGCTATTTCTGAAAATAATAAAAATTTCTTTACACTACAGATATTGTAGGAAAATTAACATATTACACACCTTATATATAAAACAATGGTAACTCTAATTAAAGTGCATGTTACAATACAAACACAAAGTATACTATACTTTTGCACTCTCACTTGAGTAAAGCAGACAGCTAAAATAAATAAAATAAACTGCACTGATGTCAGCTCTTCCCCATGTATTACAACCTGAGTTTGTGAATGAGCAAATTTGACGAATGTGTTAGGTAGTATGCATAAATATAGCATTATACAAGTGTTGCCAATTTAACAAAATTTGTTGATTTTGCAAATGGGACGGTCATAAGAAAATGGAAAACTTTAACTATTTAAATGTATACAAAAACAAACAGAATAAAAAAACACGGCCAAATGTAATTTGAAGTTCGTTGAGCTTTCAACTGCACGTTGCTTTAGTTGACGTTTATTGTTAGGCGATGTAGCTTAGTAGCTGTTGATAAATCAAAGAAATCAATTTCACTTCGTTAACATATCGTTTATTTCTTGTACGTCTTTTTTTCTTTCTTTCAACAATTTCGACAAATAAATGTACAAAAGCAAACAGCATGAAATAGGTTCTCACATTGGTTGCAATAAGTATTAGTCTATTTTTTTTATTATTATTATTGGATTAAATGCACAATTTTAACTGAATTTTTATTTACGTGCACATCTTGACATTTGAATTGCAGTTTTACACATTTCGTAATATTTCGTTTAAACTATTTGCACAACAGAGTGCAATACAACAAATATAAATTTTCAATCAAAAACTTCATTTCATTATCATGTAAATTTTGTTTCTTTTTGTATTCTTTTCTCTTTTTCACCATATTCGATTTAATTAATTTTTTTTCTTGTTCGGAAGTAAAATTCCAATTCCCTTTCTAACTTTTCCTTTATATTATCCCGTCTTATTTTTTACTCGCTCTTTTTTTAACATTTTTGTATAAGCGCTATAATTTTTATTTAAATAAATAAAAATAATTTAAGCATTTTATTTTATATACAACACTATACGTCTTTACAGTTGTTTTGTTTATTTACTTTTTAATAAAAAATAAGCATCGCTTAACCTTTCAATGTAGAAAATCTTACACTTCCATCACGAATCTTTTCGTTAAAGCGAACAATAAAAAAGCATTTTAGTCTATTTTTGCTTTAGTTTTCTATTAGCTAAACAGAGAAAAAAATATTTTCAGCATTTCGTTGTATTGCGAGGGTGTGTGTGAAATGCTGTGTGCAACTGAAAAAATGGCGTAAATTGAACGAATATACACAGGGTTAGTTTTAGTACTAATTTGAATAAAAAGTAGTAGATTTCGTAAAACATTGGTGCAGGCTTTTTTTAATTTATTTTTGCTATTTTCAGTAAACGATATTTAATATTACGTCCTTATAGATTAATAAAAAAAGTAGAAAAAAGTGGTCTACTAATTTTTCGTTTGAATAAATTTCAGTTTGTCATTTATATTAATATATTAGTATTGTGATTAGCATAAGTTATTAAAATTGTTTTAAATTTCAATATTAATTAGGTAATGTTGGGATGGCAATCTTAAAAACTTACAATCTACTGATTTTAATATCAAAATTATAGAACATACATGTATAAAATCGCAAAACTCTATGTTTTTATTCAATGAACTCTTGTTTACAAAGTTTTCTTTAACAACTTTTTAATTATATACCTAATAACATAATACATTTTTACCTATATAAAATGCACGATAACTTTATATTAAAATCTTAATATATTTAATTTTATGCCAATAGCTATATTTACAGTAATAAATATAATCATTTCTAATACTGGATTCACACTAAAGTTTTATTTGTAATTTTATCTGTAAAAAAGGTTCATTTTGCATTGAATGTATCAACAATGGACAGCTAAAATTACAAACAAAACTTCTGTAAACCCAGTATAATACTTGCTTAACACGGCTTATATGAATGTAAAAATGTGCAATTTGCAAAAGCGAGCTATTAAAATAAATTATTATTTCAAAATATCTGATCTATATAGTTTTATAATTATTAATTGCATAGTAATCATATGTATAATATTTGAATCAATTTGCACTTATTGCTACACATTTATCGAGTTAATTATAAAAGTGTAAACGTTCGAAATATTGTATATTGTTAATTCAAATTATTTACATATCATATGTATGATGTGCATTGCAGAGTACTAGGGATCCAGCCATGTATTCAGACAGACGGACATGTGAATTAAGTGTTGAAAGAGTTGCCCACTAATAAATATTAATTTGTTAATTCTCGGATATGATGATAGTTTTTTTGAGGGTATTCAGATGTAGCTCGGTAACTGTATTACTCACTGAAGTAATAAAATAACAGAAGTCTGAAATAAAAAACCCCTTTCTACATATTTCTCGGCAGTGTTGTAAAATTAAAGTGGCAAGGAAAATTTTGTTTTTGCTCTATTTGTTTCACACAAACGTATGAAAATAGGAAGAAAAGCGGTGAAAAGTAAAATTTAAATTCACATAAATATTTTTAATGCAAAGGGTTTTTAATAGTATTTTTTGTAGTTATTTTTAATATTCATCTCTATTAATATTTTTATGTATTTATATTTCACACACTTCAAACTTCAAATTTTGATGTCAATTATGTGCAACAACTTATAATCAGCTAAATAATCAGCTGATTTTTCATCGAAGATCGAACAGTTTATTAGACGTGGTGGCTCTGTAAATCGTTGACTCGGTAATGTTGGAATTTTAGCTTTATAATAAGTGTTACTAAGACTTTAAAGCTTTACTGAGTTACCGAGTACGTCTGAATACTCCAATTACGTATTGTCAAATAATATTAATGATACACAGATTAAACTGAAACTAATTTTCCAAAAATCTAGAGTTTAAAAACGTGAACTTTCATTTATTTGTTATTCAAAGACAAAAAAGGGAATTTTAATCAAGTCAAACCCAAAAATAACTAATTCATGTAGACGTTTAAATCAATTTAAAGTTTTTAATTTTTTATGCCTGCAACAATTAAATTTTAAGATAACACCATTTAACAATGCCTTTGTAAAAGAGAATACTCTACTGTTGTTGTTTTTCTGCAACAAGAAGTAAAGTTTCATCGTTGCATTAGTTTCAGCTGTCGAAATAAAAAAAATGAATAAACTAAATCTTACTTAAGCTCCCAGTTGATATGTTTGGGAGAAAGTTATTTTTTGAAAAAAAAAAGCTTTTAAAAAGTACTGTATAAATTTTATTTATACATTTTATTGTACCAACAAGTTATAACATCTCTGGTCTTGTTATATTTCACATTTATTCTTAATGCTCTTAGTCAGGTGTGTCAGCGTATAAGAGTCAATTATAGGAATGAAAGAACGCTCCAACCAAATTTGTATTCCAAGTACTATCTGACCAGTAGATCATGCTATCCGACTAAATATACGTTCTCTGATTTTATTAAAATTACATTGCTCCACCCCAACAATAAAAAATTTGAAATATTACCAGAGCCTATTAGGTTTTTCTAAAATTTTAATTAGTAAATTTTAAATTAGTAAATTCCGTTTCGAAGCTTCTTATAAGGAGTTATAATAATAAAGAGCGTTGTTGTTAGTGTGCCGAAAATATAACTTTCCTACCTTAAGAAATTTCTCTTTGTATAGCAACAGGTTTATACGGCAACGTTTAATTGGCACAATATATATTGTTTTCATCCAATAAAAATCGTCAAGATCTAACATGAATACCGAGCTTGAGTTTCGAGGGGTTGCACATAGAACACGCGTTCTTGCGGATATATTTCTAAAATCGTAAATAAAATTTGAAGTGGCGGTTTTTTTGTACATGTGGGAATTCAATTTTTGTTATAGTTAATGATTAACAATTTTTAGGAGTTGCTATTTTAACTTTTCAGTACACGTAACCGAAAATTGCATTTGTGTAACAAAATAGTGCTTAAAACCTTTTACACCCACAGCTGTTACGTTCTTAATTTTTTACTATAACTGACTATAATTATCATATTTATAAAATAATATACATTTCACACATTATTATTATATTATTTTTTATTGTTACTAAATATATTGATATAAAATAAATTTATCGGTATGCAATTAAATATACAAAATCAATTCATATCAACAAATTATTATAGCATGACGTCACATATAAAATTACACAAATACGCGAATTTATTCAATACAAAGATGTTATTTTTAACTTAAAGTTAACAAAAGTTTTTTCATATTTTGCAAATTTTATTTACAAGTAATTCGTCGAAGCAAAAGTATAAACTAAATACTATTAAAATTGTTATATTTGTTCTTATATTTATTTAAGACAAAAACGAAGAAAGATATTTAAAAAAATCATAAATTGCTACATTAACTTCCCTACCCACATTTGTGTCATAAGTAAAAATATACGATTATGGAAATTTT